AGGATTTCGATTAAGTCTTATTAAAGTGAGGATAATGCTGGTATTCTCTGTCACGCTGGACAGAGGGTCATACACAAGACAATAGGTCTAAACTGTAGGCTGAAGCACATATATATCATGGTTACAATCAATGTTTGAATGTATGGATATGTGAAAACAACTTTCTATTGTGCACTGCCACACAAGGGCAGAGATGGGTTCATAAGTGATGCAGCTTCGAAGTAATATAAATAAAAATTGTTCTTCATTTTTGAACTACAGTACAATTATGAGCCAGAGGAAATGAGGGAGAGATGAGGCGTGATGACGGGGGAGTGGAGAAAGACTCCAACACAGCTGAAAAAGTAATGAGACTCCCAGCTGGATATTTGGACTTATGAAGGAACTACTCACAAACAAATGATTTACTGGCAGGAATTTTGAGTTCTTCTGAGATCAAATGTGTGTTGTATGAATTGTATTTTGGGAGTGATTTTGACCCAAGCCCTAGAATCTGTTGATGGAGAATGCTGAAGTTGTTCAGTCTTTTATACAACTTCACGGAATGATAAGTATATATTAGTTCCATAAAAATGTCTTCTCGCCATCCTACTTTTGTAATATAAAGTGTGATAACAGTTGGCTTACTATTCTAATGGAAAACTACACTTTATTTGTTCTATATGACCTGTCTCAACACACCCAGGTCAGCTGATCACAACACACCCAGGTCAGCTGATCACAACACACCCAGGTCAGCTGATCACAACACACCCAGGTCAGCTGATCACAACACACCCAGGTCAGCTGATCACAACACACCCAGGTCAGCTGATCACAACATATAAACACTATAACAAATTCCTTTCTCACTCTCTTCTCATTCATCCCACGCCCTCGCAACCACCACCATGCATTCACCACATTAAATCCTTCACTATACTCATTCATGCGTCCATCCACTTACTCACCCTTCCGATGAATAGATGGATAGAAAGCTGTATGGTATCTTTCTCTCCAATCATTCATCTGCTGACACTCTCCCACCATTCATTCATCTACCTACCTACCCTTCTACCATTCACCTACCTACCTACCCTACCACCACTCATCTACCCGTATAAACGTGGCCCAAACAATTAAAACACCTAAATAAATTAAATTTGGGTAACAAGGAAATTAAAATGAAATCTAGTTTCAACATATTTACCAGGCCGGACATGTAGCAGGCTGGACATGTAGCAGGCCGGACATGTAGCAGGCTGGACACGTAGCAGGCTGGACACGTAGCAGGCTGGACACGTAGCAGGCTGGACATGTAGCAGGCTAGACATGTAGCAGGCCGGACATGTAGCAGGCCGGACATGTAGCAGGCTGGACATGTAGCAGGCTGGACATGTAGCAGGCTGGACATGTAGCAGGCTGGACATGTAGCAGGCCGGACATGTAGCAGGCTGGACATGTAGCAGGCCGGACATGTAGCAGGCCGGACATGTAGCAGGCCGGACATGTAGCAGGCCGGACATGTAGCAGGCCGGACATGTAGCAGGCCGGACATGTAGCAGGCCGGACATGTAGCAGGCTGGACATGTAGCAGGCTGGACATGTGCCCGGGTGAAGTAAAAAATTTCCCCTCCCCTTACTGCTAAATCCGGAACGCTCAATTAAAGGCTCATCTGGGCCACGAATGCTGTGCTTCGTGCCTCAAGACCAATGTGCTGTGCTCTCACATACCAGGGTGTGCTGGCCACCCACATACCAGGGTGTGCTGGCCACCCACATACCAGGGTGTGCTGGCCACCCACATACCAGGGTGTGCTGGCCACCCACATACCAGGGTGTGCTGGCCACCCACACACCAGGGTGTGCTGGCCACCCACACACCAGGGTGTGCTGGCCACCCACATACCAGGGTGTGCTGGCCACCCACATACCAGGGTGTGCTGGCCACCCACACACCAGGGTGTGCTGGCCACCCACACACCAGGGTGTGCTGGCCACCCACATACCAGGGTGTGCTGGCCACCCACATACCAGGGTGTGCTGGCCACCCACATACCAGGGTGTGCTGGCCACCCACATACCAGGGTGTGCTGGCCACCCACATACCAGGGTGTGCTGGCCACCCACATACCAGGGTGTGCTGGCCACCCACACACCAGGGTGTGCTGGCCACCCACATACCAGGGTGTGCTGGCCACCCACATACCAGGGTGTGCTGGCCACCCACACACCAGGGTGTGCTGGCCACCCACACACCAGGGTGTGCTGGCCACCCACATACCAGGGTGTGCTGGCCACCCACACACCAGGGTGTGCTGGCCACCCACACACCAGGGTGTGCTGGCCACCCACATACCAGGGTGTGCTGGCCACCCACATACCAGGGTGTGCTGGCCACCCACACACCAGGGTGTGCTGGCCACCCACATACCAGGGTGTGCTGGCCACCCACATACCAGGGTGTGCTGGCCACCCACACACCAGGGTGTGCTGGCCACCCACATACCAGGGTGTGCTGGCCACCCACATACCAGGGTGTGCTGGCCACCCACACACCAGGGTGTGCTGGCCACCCACACACCAGGGTGTGCTGGCCACCCACATACCAGGGTGTGCTGGCCACCCACACACCAGGGTGTGCTGGCCACCCACACACCAGGGTGTGCTGGCCACCCACATACCAGGGTGTGCTGGCCACCCACACACCAGGGTGTGCTGGCCACCCACACACCAGGGTGTGCTGGCCACCCACATACCAGGGTGTGCTGGCCACCCACACACCAGGGTGTGCTGGCCACCCACACACCAGGGTGTGCTGGCCACCCACACACCAGGGTGTGCTGGCCACCCACACACCAGGGTGTGCTGGCCACCCACACACCAGGGTGTGCTGGCCACCCACATACCAGGGTGTGCTGGCCACCCACATACCAGGGTGTGCTGGCCACCCACATACCAGGGTGTGCTGGCCACCCACATACCAGGGTGTGCTGGCCACCCACACACCAGGGTGTGCTGGCCACCCACATACCAGGGTGTGCTGGCCACCCACATACCAGGGTGTGCTGGCCACCCACATACCAGGGTGTGCTGGCCACCCACATATCAGGGTGTGAAGTGGTTAATGTTGGGACAGATTTTAACCTGCGGGTAAGCAGGAGTCGTACAGTATCGAGGTTTCAACATTTAAATCAACAAGGTGAGGGGGAATCTATAATTAATTGTATAACTCACGCAAGATGGAGTCTTGACTGGATTCTGTGAGAGGGTATTGTGTGTGATTTATATGTGGCGTGAGTCACTGAACCGTTACTTTATGGTGCACTAATATTATGGTGGCCTCGTGGAGGTGCTGAATGACAATTCTTTCATGAAGGTGGGAGTGGTTATTACGGCTTTGAGAGTAAGGCGCCAAGGTGTTCTTTGACGGAGCGTGGCTAGTGGTAGTGGATGGTCACCGACTTACCACGCCAGTAACTACGGGCTCACCATAGCCCGTGCTACTTGGATCTTTTTGTTCCAGGTAGCAAATCTTAAACAAGAACGCCAGGCTGGACGGAGGCAAGCATTTGATTCTTTGTTTATTTGGGCGAAGGTTTGAGAGTACCTAGAAACTTTAGTGGGGACGAACCAGGTCAGCTGTCGAGCTGTAGAAAATTAATAACAGTGGATATTTTGTAAGTTGTCGGAATCGAATATTTATATTAGGTTACGAAGTGCCAAGTACCCTGGCACTTGGAGCCTTCCATAGTGGATGGCAGACACGCATTAACAGCTAATGACCTTCACTGGTCATTAGCTGTTAATGTCACCAGTTTCAAGCAGGATATTAATGTAAGAGTGGTCGTCTGTGTCACCTGTGAGCAGCACCGTAACCCAACACACTAGTACATTCACTGTGCCAACCCATAGGTCCTGCTGCCATGAGTTGTACTGAATGGCCACACATGCACCTGGTACGTACTGTACAAATGTACAATCCCTCGGCTCCCTGTCATGGCAGCAGTTGTAGAAGCAGCTGCAATAACACTACATTTTAACGTGTCCAAGAGACATTAATCGTTGTAATCCTCCCGTATTTATGTATAGAGACCAAACTGAATATCTTTTATCAACAAGACCAGACTGAGAGGAGAGGAGAGTGGGTGAGGATGATGCAGCTTAAGTCACCCAAGAGAGTAGAAGAGTGGATTGATTGATAAAGATTAAGCCACCCAAGGTATACTGGTATAGACAATTTTCCTCCGTCATGTTTCTCAGCTCCTACAAAAGCGTGACTATGTTCCTTGTCAATATCTTTTGCCCTTCGTCGGTGTGTGGTGCTCTTGCCGCCCTCTGGAGACCCGCTGGCCACCAGGCCCATCACCGCCGCGTCAGGAGCCACTCTCGAGGTGCAGGCGACGACGACACACTGTAGCAGAAAGGCCAAAATGACAGGCACGAGTCGTGTGGGAGTGATGGGAACGTCAGCGAGAGGGCTCATCCGGACTAGTGGAATTGTCTGCCAGGGTCGGGGAGCGAGTCGTACACGACTGGCCCGCGGACTAGTGGGTAATCTCAGGACTCGTTACTCCTCCACAACTCTGGCAGTCATACACGAATATATATTTAAAAATGTATATTTAATATTTGGCGTACGAGCAGAGAATAGCTGATGTTACACCGAGGTGTCATCGTATATTCAATATATAATAATTCATATGACAGTGTCAGACCACGGAGGAAAATTGAAACAGGAATTTCCTTAAGTACTTTCGTATATTAATACATCTTCAGAAGGAGTCCCTTGCCACGGTGTATTAATATACGAAAGTACTTAAGGAAATTCCTGTTTCAATTTTCCTCCGTGGTCTGACACTGTCACATTTTTAATCACGTGTTTATTTTTCGTGATATACACAAATAATTTATATAAAACAAAATGCATGTAAGAACAGATAATTAAGATTCACAACTTAAAAAATATCAAAGAGTACAACTAAAAAAGGAGTAAGAGAAATCCATTTTGCCTTAACCAGCTAAATACTTCAGCAACTCTGAAGCAGAATATAAGGTCACATTATCGCCTCACAACTTCCTGAAGGAAATGAGGTTATGGAAGTTAGAAGAGATCTTGAGCTACTTATGTGCACCAGGCAACAGCACCGTGGCAAGGTCGCTGAGGAAGGGAGGACAGCAGAACACATCAGTGCATCAGTTGGCTGGAGTAATGCGGCTGCTGCTGACAATCCCAGTCATTATGGACTTCAGGCCGCTTGAGTCGAGTTCTTACCTTTACTCATTCGAGTAATAGTAAGAATTCGTCTTGGATACAAATACCCACGGAGTTTAGGGAAGGGTATAAACAGCAGAGCTGCAGAATCTGCAGTCAGAGTGAGGGACACCGCCTTAACCACTTCCTGAGAGACTGTACCCATCTAGGAGAAGTTAGAAATATGTGTAGAATAATAAATTCCAAATTGTTCGAGTTAGGAAAACACTATTTGTCAAATATAGATACTGTTCTTAAAAGACTTCCCCATTTTTCACCGGCAAGATAACCTAAGTTTGAGGATTGATAAATACTAATCTTGTTTGACGATCTTCACATAAGACAGTTGAGTGAGTTACAGCTGCGTCTGGGTACGAGCGCCACGAGGAATATCTCTAAGGCTGATATTCCTACTGTGAGTGTTGTATATGCTGCTATCTTCACTTGCAAGGTGAGTCATGCTTTACAACAAATGTTCTTCTCGAGTATTTTTAATACACACTACAACATGTTTATTGATACAGAGGACGCCAGAAAATAATTCCAAGCAGCTGTGTCGCTGCTCTCTGACTTTATCTCTTGATCAGCCTCTCGACAATTTCCCTCACTTACTTCTCCTTCCCCACTCTTCCTTCACCCTCCTCCTCTCTGTCTCTCTTCTGCCTCTACCTCGCGTCTTCCCCTCACTTCCTCTTCTTCGTATTGCTGGGCGCTGGTGGAAGAACGGCTCCTTCTGTTCGCTAATGTCGAGCGGTGTGAGGGGCACCGCTCTGGTGCCCCTCACACCCCGCTGCTACTCCGGTGTGGTCAATGAATCAATAATAGTTTTCTCAAGGTCACCAGAGACTCCGGCTTCTGAAGGTCACTGGTGATTCAGGGTTATAAAGGTCACAATGATTCAAGTGTTTGAAGTCCAAGTTCTTCTAAGGAGAGCGGGACCACCTCGCTCATGCTGTGACGTCACAAGCCATGTGGAACATCTCAACTCTCAAGAGTGCGATGGGCGTGTGGGGCTGGCTGAAGTGGGTGGTGGTGGGTGTGGTGCTGACTGAAGTGGGTGGTGGTGGTGGGTGTGGGGCTGGCTGAAGTGGGTGGTGGTGGGCGTGGGGCTGGCTGAAGTGGGTGGTGGAGGGTGTGGGATCAGTAGAAGTGGGTGGTAGAGAATGTGTCTTAAATTCACCTAAATCCCCCTCAATTTAGCCGGTGTACTGGGCAGTGTACAAACTGAGGTGCAACAGGTGTGAGGCGAGGCTGGCAGGCCGCCATGAGTGGGCGTCGAGGGGTCGCGAACATCAGCCAAGGGGAGAATGACTACCTCACATTACACTGACAAATGAGGGGAACCTGTTTTTGGTGAGGTTGGGCAGGGAGTTGTGGATGGAGGATGGAGCACACGGGAGGAGGATTAAGATGGAGGATGGAGCACACAGGAGGAGGATTAAGACGGAGGAAGATAGAATGAGGCTACAAGATGACCTAACTGAATGAATGGTCCAACAAATGACTACTAAAGTTCAACCCGAGTAAATGTAATGTAATGAAACTAGGCAGTGGAAACAGGAGGCCAGACACAGGAAACTGAATAGGAGATAAAGTCCTTTATGAAACGGACAGAGAGAAAGATCTAGGAGTTGATATCACACCAAACTTGTCTCCTGAAGCCCACATAAAAAGAATTACATCTGCGGCGTATGCAAGGCTGGCTAACATCAGAACTGCCTTCAGAAACCTGTGTGAGGAATCATTCAGAGCCTTGTATACCACATATGTGAGGCTAATCGTTGAGTATGCGGCCCCAGCATAGAGCGTACCTTGTCCAGCACAAGATGAAGCCGGAAAAAGGTCAGAGGCATGCCACTAGACTAGTCTCATAACTAAGAGGCATGAGTTATGAGGAAAGGCTGCGTGAGATGCACCTCAAAACACTGGAAGACAGAAGAGTAAGAGGAGACATGATCACTACACTTCACAACTAACAACAGACCACTCCACAACCTTCAATAAAACATTCATGATATACAAAATTGACAGAAGTCTATTTTTCCAGCCACACTATCGCTGGATGCATGACCCAACAGTTAAGTGGACCGGAACGAGCCAGTCACTCCGAACTCAGCAGCGAGAGAGAGCCAATCGATATTACCAGAAATTTCCCAACTGACTTCATATCAGAGATTTTTGTTTTCACAAACTAAACGAATTCATGAGAGAGAAGTAAATGGTAAGCTAACTCAGTTACATATTATTACTCGAAAGGATTAGCGATTATTAACTGATTCACGATCATAAAGACGAAGAATCAGAGATTAATAAAAATAATTAGATTTTTGATTGTGAAATAAAAAAGTTGAGAAGGAAATTTCTCTTTCGCGACGGAGGTCTGGCGTCAATGGTCACCTCAGATGGAGACTATATATGTATATATGACTAATATACATATGCATGTTTGTAAGTGTATGTATATATGATGTACGTGTATGTATACATGTAGTATGTAGTAGTGTCTGCTTGTCCCCGAGAATCTAGATACTATTTTTAATTTAATGATTGTTATTATATTTCCAAGTGGATGATGACTGATAACTTGGTAATACTAATGTAGGATTAACGGGGCCCGGGGTTCGGGGCTCGGGCTCGGGGCCCCGGGGTAATTGGCAGTTAGAACGGGGTCGAGCGTTTCAGTATTTTCCTTCAACTAATGGCTTCTTTCGAGTGAGTTACGACCAAGCGAGGCAATTACCGTGCCATAATTGACCTTTGGTACACATTGTTTCTTCAAAGCTTGGCTGATGGCTTTTGATGCGTATACTGCCGGCTGGTCGTTAGTGGGAGCAGAGATGACGTAGGTGTGGGTGGTATGAGGGATGATCCTCCACGTGGTCGTCAGAGCAGACGGTGATTACAACGGGTTGGTCCGACACTTCCTGCACGAACTGTAACTGTTGAACACGTCCACTTGTGGTCGGACGAGGCCAACTATGCAGCATCAACATGCAACTCTCATCTCTACAGCCGCCAGACATGAAGTGAACCTTGTGTTAATATGTTCTCTGTAAACTCACAAGTGTGTGCGTGTGGCAACCAGGAGGCCTGGTCGACGACCGGGCCGCAGGGACGCTAAGCCCCGGAAGCACCTCAAGGTAAGGTGTGTATTTACTATTTGTGTCTGCAGAATCCGGTTATTAGCTCTTGGACCCCGCCTTTCTAACCAATCTATTTTTCCTTTATGTTTACTATTACACATATTACTAACACACACACACACACATCTCCAGAAAGAAACCCGTAGCAGCTGGAACTCGCAGGTACCTATTTACTGCTAGGTGAACAGGAGCATCAGGGTGAAACAAACTCTGCCCACTTGTTTCCGCGTCGGCCAAGAATCGATCCCGGGCCCTTAGGACTACGACCCTTGAGCACTCTCATCTCAACCGCGAGGCCCCAATCTTGCACTTTCTCTCACGCCGGTCGGCCGAGCGGACAGCACGCGGGACTTGTGAGCCTGTGGTCCTGGGTTCGATCCCAGGCGCCGGCGAGAAACAATGGGCAGAGTTTCTTTCACCCTATGCCCCTGTTACCTAGCAGTAAAATAGGTACCTGGGTGTTAGTCAGCTGTCACGGGCTGCTTCCTGGGGGTGGAGGCCTGGTCGAGGACCGGGCCGCGGGGACACTAAAAAGCCCCGAAATCATCTCAAGATAACCTCAAGATAACCTCAAGATAACCTCAAGATAACCTCAAGATAACGCCTCCTGGTCTCATGTGATTGTATTTCCGTGTGTAGATTTCCAACACCGTTCCTCTAATATTTTCCACGTTTAAATGACGTATTTCTCTCGCCTGCGCTCTAGAGAATACAGATTTAGAAATGTAAGTGTCGCAATAATATTATGGAGTTGTCTTCATGTTTACAGTCGATGAGACAACCCGTTTTCGCACTTTCTTACAGTCAATATTGACTTATTTAATACGTGCATATGTGACATACTTAACATACTAGTTTACGAAAGTGCGAGAACGGGTTGGATGAGAATACATGGGCCAACTGGACCAGGCTTATTTGAACTTTTAATAATAATATCCAGATATGTTATCATTAAAACATCAATGTTACCCTTATTTACGTATTTTAACATTACATACAGACTTAAATGTTAAATTACATTTCTGTTCCCTTAAGTATCACAACTATTAAACACTAACACGTGCAAACACAAACAATAAACATATACAATAACATTTACACATATAAACACTACGAGTATTACCTCAGACGTCCGCAACACCACTACTACACATCAATATCACCAAAACAAAATAGGTCCATAAACATCAGATCCCATCCTGGGTGACGCCCTCCACTCCCTTAATCAAGTCAAGCCATCATCCCCACTGGGCCGGGATATTAGCCCCTCACTGACCGCCAAGGCGTATAAATAAATCACTGCTGTAATTGGAATCCGATATTTCTGTTTGCTCTGAAGAAATACATAGCCTCGTATCTCATTAACTGTGTTATCGATGTATCTTCCTGCGGATTAGTTTCTTTCTCCGTCGCCTCTATTTCGGGGTTTATTCCTCCTTTGGGAGCAATGTAAAATATGTACTCACGTAGTTGTGCTTGCGGAGGTTGAGCATTGGCTTTTTGGTCCCGCCTCTTAATTGTCAATCAACTGGTGTACAGATTCCTGAGCATACTGGGGCTCTATCAAATCTAAATTTGAAACTGTGTATGGAGTCAGCCTCCACCACATCACTGCTTAATGCATTGCATTTGTTAACTTCTCTGACAGTGAAAAAATTCTTTCTAATGTGTGTGTGTGTGTGTACTCACCTAGTTGTATTCACATAGTTGTAATTGCGGGGGTTGGGCTCTGCTCTTTCGGCCCGCCTCTCAACTGTCAATCAACTGTTACTACTAATTTTTTTCTACACACACACACCAGGAAGCAGCCCGTAGCAGCTGTCTAACTCACAGGTACCTATTTACTGCTAGGTAACAGGGGCACCAGGGT